TGCTGAAAAAGATGGGGGTGGCTACTGAGGAAAGAGGTTAAACCAAAAAATGAATATTAAAAGTAAATGTATAACCCTCCTCTTTCCTGACAACTTACATGTACAGCCCTGGTGTGTAGAAATGTACTGACTTTGCTGATAGTTCTGATGGTACCTATCCCTTGACATGCTTTATGTTTTAATCAATGGCAGTAGGGAGGTCACCAGGAGGTCCTATGGAAATTTTCTGTGGGGCCCCATGATCTATAGTTATGCCTCTGGTTAAAGTATACATTATATATATATATATTTAGACATTCAAGGTAAAGAGCTTTTGTTCCAGAATCTTCTCAAAATAATCCTTTTCAGCTTGTTGCTGGCCTGGAAGACGATGGCCGCCTCAAATGATGGAGACAATAGTCGGAAAGTCCAGCTGACCATATCTATTGGGTTTGTGAACTGTGAGGATTTTCTGAGAAATGAAAGCACCTCACATATGGAGAAGGAGAAGAGCATGAAAAGTAAAAAGAGGATTGTCCTCAGTGCCGTGACATGAGCCTGAAGATTTGGACTTGTGGATCCAGAGTCATTATTCTTCACCCTCCAGACGTGTCTGAGCAGAAAGGAGAAAGTGAGGACCAGGCACAGAAGACTGAGGCAGAATGGAAGAACGCAGCCCAGGAAGGTCACCGGAACAAAATAGTAAAAATTAACATGGTAAATGGCATTGGTAATGGAGACCTCTGTATTGTTCTCAGAAGACTGGATAGGACTTCCTTCATTGAAAGCCCACTTAGTCAGAACACTTACAGGGAACATCCCAAGTGCTGTCAGGAATAGAAGCTGACTCAGGAAATTTGTCACAATTCTCTTTACCCAGATGAAGAACCCATAGCTGAGATTGGTGATGCTGGTACAGTAATGAGCCGAGAGCCAGAAGGTCAACCAGAAGTTGAAATATGTTAGGAAGTAAATTAATTTAGCAATAAATAAGTATACATGTATGGTGTATGAGAAGACGGCAGAAGGCAGGAGAAAGAACACTCCCTTGAGAGTCATCGAACACTGGAGGACAATATTCACCATTCCCTTCCCCATAAAGATCACATCGGTGGGACTCAACTTCCCTTCTTCCTGATGCTGTCCAGGATACTCATCACAATACAAGTGTTAGGAGGTATTGCCAAGCCGAGTCCCAAAATCATGGGAATCAAAACATAGATGCGCATGTTGGTTTTGGTGTGAGCTCTGGATAGAGATGACGGTCACGTCCAGTGATAGAAGACAGAATGGAGGTTGGAAATAATGGAAATAGTCTTCAGAGATCCGTCTCATGAGTGACTTTGCATAAATGAGATGGATTTCATTTCAATTCCAACATCTAAAGCACGGAACAAACTGTACAAACATTGTTTTGATCATTTGCATTATACTAACTTAGTTAACCATTTCAAAACTAAAGGTTGTTTGTCCCTTACTGACCCTTCTGTACATTGATTTAGCATGCCAATGGAGGACATACAAGTCTTGTTATGTGAAACGTTTTTTACGTTGTATTTTTTTTTTGTACAGGGGGTGTTAATTAGGAGCTATTCAGGATTTATTAGGGGTTATTTGGAGATAAATATGTAGCACCCCTCTAGTTAGCCAGGAGGAGCTAGCTAGGTTTTCAATTAGAGGCTGGATAGCAGTCTGGTATGAGTCAGCCTGGAATGAGTCAGCCTGGGGCGAGTCAGCCTTGGATGAGTCAGTCAGGACTGAGGGCTCTACTGATCAGCTCCCTGATACCCTGCCCTGCTCTAGAAGCTTGAGAAGTTTCTAGAAGGCAGTGGGTGGAGGTGAGGAGTGGCTGATCTGCATACTGAGGTCACTCTTACCAATCCCCAAGCAGTAGGCTTGGCTTGGGGTCAGGGCAGCCCTTAAGCATGGGAGAGCCTGATCAGGAAGTGGTCAGTGTTGGGTGGAAGATTGTGTGAGAAGGCTGGAGTGTGGAGCCTGGGAGGGAGCCCAGAGAGGGGTCTATCTGCAGGCAAGAGCTGGAGAGGAGGATCTCTCAGCATCACCATCCCCTAAGAGAGGAATTCCTGTGAAGCAGGCCAGTGAAAGGCCTGAAGGCAGCCTCCAACCCATCAAGCTCACAAGAGAGGACTGATTGAGTAATACTGCACCCCCTGGGCCGTATAAGGGGAGAGGGCAGTAAGGTGGCAAAGCCAACTAGCTTCTCACCTGGGCCTGCTGGGGTATTTGTACTGTCCTGGCATTTGGGGGGGGGGGGGGGTATTTGGTATTTGTACTGTTCTGACATTTGGGGGAATTTGTTCTGTTCTGACATTTGGGGGATTGGTACTGTCCAGACACTTGGGGGAGGTGTACTGTCTTGACATTTGGGGGGATTTGTACAGTCCTGACATTTGGGGGGATTTGTACTGTCCTGACATTTGGGAGGATTTGTACTGTTCTGACATTTGGGGGGGGGGGATTTGTACTATCCTAACATTTGGGGGGGGGGGGGGGGGGATTTGTACTGTCCTGACATTTCAGGGAGATTTGTACTGTCCTGACATTTGGAGGGGGATTTGTACTGTCCTGACATTTGGGGGTATGTGTACTCTACTGACATTTGGGGAGATTTGTGCTCTCTTGACATTTGGGGGGATTTGTACTCTCCTGACATTTGGGGGGGATTTGTACTGTCTTCACATTTTGGGGGGATTTGTACTGTCCTGACATTTGGGGGGGATTTGTACTGTCCTGACATTTGGGGAATATTTGCACTGTCCTGATATTTGGGGGGAAATGTACCATCCTGACATTTGGGGGGGATTTGTACCGTCCTGACATTTGGGGGGGATTTGTACCGTCCTGACATTTGGGGGGGATTTGTACTGTCCTGACATTTGGGGGGATTTGTACTGTCCTGACATTTGAGGGGATATTTGTACTGTCCTGACAATGGAGGGGGGGGGGGGGTATTTGTACTGTCTGTACATTTTAGGGTCACAAGAAATGAGATCGGCTGTCAGTAAATCAGAACAAATCAGTTTTCAGATATATCCCATAGTTTGTGGACTCACTTTGGCCTAAAGTTATCTCAATTTTCTGCTTTTTCTCAATTTTTCTGCTTTTTTTTTTCTTTCATTTGTAAAGTAGGAATTAAAGAAAAAAGGCGCCTTATAAATATCACTAAATGACATCTCTATCTTCCCCCTCAAAAAAACATTTATATGCAGTGTTGCTCAAATGAGTAATTGTTAGTCAAAGTATCACAGCACTGAAAACTGAAAATTGGCCTGGACTGGGAGGGGCTTTAATGTATAACTAAAGACAAAACTTAAAAAACAATATTTGGGCAGAGTGGGGCTGTATAGTGGGGCTGTATAGTGGGGCTGTATAGTGGGGCTGTGTAGTGGGGCTGTGTAGTGGGGCTGTATAGTGGGGCTGTATAGTGGGGCTGTATAGTGGGGCTGTGTAGTGGGGCTGTGTAGTGGGGCTGTATAGTGGGGCTGTATATAGTGGGGCTGCATTAGAACACCTATTAGGTTTTTATTGCTGTCTACATCCCTTTTATGTTTCAATATTTGTATTGAATTTTTCAGGGAAAAAACAAAGGAATGAGACATTGTTCATCATACAATATTGCAATAAAACATTATACAGTTGCGCATTGTTGTTGTTATTCCATTCGATGGCAACGGTGGAGTTGGTCTCATTTAGCGATATCATCAGAGGTATTTATATATGTATGAAGAAGCTTGGTGAGGAGTTGGGTTGTTAGGGGGGTTATTAGTAGGGGAGATGGGGGGGGGGGGGGGAGAAAGATATGAAGACATTTTGAAGGAAACTTTAAAGGATGGAACCATTGAATAATATTTTTATAATTTGCAAACGTTGTGAGATGACGACCTGATATGGATGCCAGGGATATTATGAGGAGATGTGATGTACTAGGGAGTCTAATTTGAATCAGAGGGATACTACCTAATCGACATCTGAAAACATTGAAAAGACTACTGTTAACTGCTAGCCTACCGGGCACTTCTACCCCCTTCCTGCCTACCGGGCACTTCTACCCCCTTCATGCCCCCTGGGCACTTCTACCCCCTTCCTGCCTACCGGGCACTTCTACCCCCTTCCTGCCAACAGGGCACTTCTACCCCCTTCCTGCCTACAGGGCACTTCTACCCCCTTCCTACTTACCAGGCACTTCTACCCCCTTCCTGCCTACCGGACACTTCTACCCCCTTCCTGCCTACAGGACACTTCTACCCCCTTCCTGCCTACAGGACACTTCTAACCCCTTCCTGCCTACCGGACACTTCTACCCCCTTCCTGCCTACCGGGCACTTCTACCCCCTTCCTGCCTACAGGGCACTTCTACCCCCTTCCTGCCTACCGGGCACTTCTACCCCCTTCCTGCCTACAGGGCACTTCTACCTCCTTCCTGCCTACCGGGCTCTTCTACCCCCTTCCTGCCCAGGCCAATTTCCAGCTTTCAGCGCTGTCAGACTTTGAGTGACAATTGCGCGGTCATGCAACACTGTACCCATATGAAATTTTTATCATTTTTTTGTGACAGATAAAGCTTTCTTTTGGTGGTATTTTGAAAAAATTTTGAAAAAAAAAAACGTTTTTTCTTAGTTTTTGTTATAAAATTTTGTAAATAAGTGATTTTTCTCCATCACTGATATGCGTTAATGAGGCTGCAGTGATGGGCACTGATAGGCTGCACTGATGGACACTGATAGGTGGCACTGATGGGCACTGATGAGGAGGCACTGGTAGTTGGCACTGATGGGCATTGACAGGCATCACTGATGGGCACTGATAGGCGGCACTGATACATGTCACTGATATATGGCACTGATAGGCAGCACTGATACATGTCACTGATATATGGCACTGATAGGCGGCACTGATACATGTCACTGATATATGGCACTGATAGGCAGCACTGATAGGCGGCACTGACTGGCACTGATAGGCGGCACTGACTGGCAAGGATAGGTGGCACTGATTGGCAGCACTGATAGGTGGCACTGACTGGCACTGATGGGTGACACTGAAAGGCAGCTCAGATGGGCACTGATATGTGGCATTGATGTGCACTGGTAGGCACTGATATGTGGCATTGATGTGGCACTGATGGGTACAGGCATGAGGCACTGACAAGGGCACTGATGGACACTGATAGGTGGCACTGCTGGGGCTACACTGATCATCAGGGCACACTGATCACCAGTGCCCTGATGATCAGTGTACATGTCCCCTCCGCGGAAAGCCGATTACCGGCTCTACTCTCCTCTCCTCTGTCAGTGTGACAGTTTGAGAGGAGAGAAATGCCAATAACCGGCATGTACCTGTTTACATGTGATCAGCTGTGATTGGACACAGCTGATCACATGACCGAGCCGAAATCTTCAGCTCTTTCCGTGATCAGTGATCCGTTTTGTCTGAGGGACACAGCGCATTGCCGATCGCCTCGCACTCCCTGAGCCACGCATGCTCGTCATATTACTATATGGCGGGTGGGAGGTGATTAAAGCATTACCAAACTTTAACAAGATTTTTTGTACTCAGTTGATCACTATCATACCAATCTCATTGGACATTAAAGACAAGGATCCTCAACATTTTAAGTCTCTGTGTTCCTCCAGCTTCTGGTCCAGAATCTTCTCAGAAAGATCCTTCTCAGCTTGTTGCTGGCCTGGAAGATGACGGCCGCCTCGATTGATGGAAATAATAATCGTAAAGTCCGACTGATCATAGGTATTGGTTCACTGACCTTTGTTGATTTTCTGATAAACACAATCACTCGAGCCATTAAGATGAAGATCAACATGAGAAGCAAGAAGAAGATTGTCCTCAGTGCCGTGACATGAACCTGAAGATTTGGATGTGTTGATCCAGAGTCGTTATTCTTCACCCTCCAGACATGTCTGAGAAGAAAGGAGGAAGTGAGGACCAGGCACAGGAGACTAAGGCAGCATGGCAGAACGACACCTAGGAGAGTCACCGGCACAAAATAGGAGAAACTGACATAGTGGGAGACAGTGATGATAATGGATTCTGTACTGTTCCCTGAAGGCTGCATGATACTTTTTTCATTGAAAGCCAAGATGGCCAAGACAGTCACAATGAACATCCCAAGTGCTGTCAGGAATAGAAGCTGACTCAGGAAATTGGACACAATTCTCTTTAACCAGATGAAGAACCCATAGCTGAGATTGGTGATGCTGGTACAGTAAAAAATGGAGAGCCAAGCGGTCAACCAGAAGCTTATATACATTAGGAAGTAAATTAAAATGATTGTAAATGCGTATACTTCTCTGGTGTGATAGGCTGCAGAAAAGACAAAGAGCATTCCGTCTAGACTCAGCACACACTGGAGGACAATATTCACCATTCCCTTCCCCAGAAAGATCACATCGGTGGGACTCAACTTCTCCTTCTTCCTGATGCTGTCCAGGTTAACCATCACAATACAAGTGTTAGAAGGTATTGCCAAGATGAGTCCCAAGACTGAAGAGACCAAACAATACATGGAGTGAGGAGTCAACATTTTTGTGTCTTCTGTGTGTGAGCTCCCGGACAGAGATGACGGGAAGGGTTCAGTGATAGCAGACAGAGTGAAGCATTTGAATTATGAAAAAGAGTCTTCAGAGATCCGTCTCATGATTGACTTTGCATAGATGTGATGGATTTCATTTCATGCCGACATCTATATATAACTTAGCAAAGTGTATAAACATTTTACAATAATTGCTATTATACCAACGTATTCTACTGCATCAGGGCTGGCAGCTGTCTGCTCCTTACTGAACATTCTACAGCGCCAGCAGTAGGGCTGATAATCTGGTCTATTGAAACATACACTATATTGCCAAAAGTATTGGGCAGCCGGACTTTCCCCGTACATGAACTTTACTGGCCTCCCAGTCATAGTCCGTAGGGCCGCCCTTTCCACGCACACGACCTTTAATGGCCCCCAGTCAGTCCGTAGGGTTCAATATGAGTTGGCCGCCCTTTCCACGCACATGAACTTTAATGGCCCCCCAGTCTTAGTCTGTAGGGTTCAATATTGATTGGCCGCCCTCTCCACGCACATGAACTTTAATGGCCTCCCAGTCTTAGTCCGTAGGGTTCAATATTGAGTTGGCCGCCCTTTCCACGCACATGAACTTTAATGGCCTCCCAGTCATAGTCCGTAGGGTCCAATATTGAGTTGGCCGCCCTTTCCACGCACATGACCTTTAATGGCCCCCCAGTCTTAGTCCGTAGGGTTCAATATTGAGTTGGCCGCCCTTTCCACGCACATGAACTTTAATGGCCCCCCCAGTCCAATATTGAGTTGGCCGCCCTTTCCACGCACATGAACTTTAATGGCCCCCCCAGTCTTAGTCTGTAGGGTTCAATATTGAGTTGGCCGCCCTCTCCACGCACATGAACTTTAGTCAAATTATTGGCCGACTTGGCGTCACGCACATGAACTTTAGTCGTAGGGTTCAATATTGAGTTGGCTCCGCCCTTTGCAGCTATAACAGCTTCAACTCTTCTGGGAAGGCCCCCCACAAGGTTTAGGAGGGTGTCTATGGGAAGGTTGGACCATTCTTCCAGAAGCACATTTGTCAGGTCAGGCACTGATGTCGGGGGAGGAGGCCTGGCTCGCAGTCTCCGCTCTAATTCATCCCAAAGGTGTTCTATGGGGTTGAGGTCAGGACTCTGTGCAGGCCAGTCAAGTTCCTCCACCCCAAACTGGCTCCTCCATGTCTTTATGGACCTTGCTTTGTGCACTGGTGCGCAGTCATGTTGGAACAGGCAGGGGCCATCCCCAAACTCCTCCCACAAAAGTTGGGAGCATGAAATTGTCCAAAATGTCTTGGTATGCTGACACCTTAAGAGTTCCCTTCACTGGAACTAGGGGGCCAAGCCCAACCCCGAAAAATTACCCCCCACCATAATCCCCCCTCCACCAAACTTTACACTTGGCACAATGCAGTCAGGCAAGTACCATTCTCCTGGCAACCACCAAACCCAGACACTTCTATCGGATTGCCAGACAGAGAAGTGTGATTGGTCACTCCAGAGAACATGTCTTCTCTGCTCTAGAGTCCAGTGGCAGCATGCTTTACACCACTGCATCCAAAGCTTTGCATTGCACTTGGTGATGGGAAGGCTTGGATGCAGCTGCTCGGCCATGGAAACCCATTCCATGAAGCTCTCTACGCACTGTTGTTGGGCTCATCTGAAGGCCACACCAAGTTTGGAGGATTTTAGCTATTGACTCTGCAGACAGTTGGCGACTTCTGCGCACTGTGCGCTTCAGCATGCGCTGACCCCGCCCTGTCATGTGACGTGGCCTACCACTTGGTGGCTGAGTGGCTGTTGTTCCCAGCGGCTTCCACTTTGTTATAATCCCACTAACAGTTGAGCGTGGAATATTTAGTAGCCAGGAAATGTCACGGATGGACTTATTGCCCAGGTGGCCACCTATCACGGGGCCACGCTTGGAGCCACTGAGCTCCTGAGAGCGACCCATTCTTTCACCAATGTTTGTAGAAGCCGTCTGCATGCCTAGGGCGTGATTGTATACACCTGTGTCCATGGAGGGGATTGGAACACCTGAATCACCGATATGGAGGGGATTGGAACACCTGAATCACATGATATGGAGGGGATTGGAACACCTGAATCCAATGGTTTGGGAACACAGAGTCCCCTATGTGATAATCTTTAGGTGACAGGTTCTCTTTACTGCAAGTGTACAATCCAAACGCACACGTTCCTGCGGTAAAAATGGCCGTGTGTATATAAGTGGGTGCTGCAACGACTGTCGGCTGGAACCGAACAGAACCTGCAAGGGAGAATGTCACCAGCACACCGAGGATCACCAATATGGGCCCCAAAGATTTAATGAACGATCGCATAGTTACAGCAAGGCAACGTTTCGGAGTCTCGCAGGACCCCTTCATCAGGCATGTGGCATCACACGTTTGTCTGCTCTCCTCTCTCCCCTCCACCCACTACCATTTGTTATGTTGCTCCCTGGGCCTACAGATGTGATAATGGTGGGATTACATGCAGGGAGGGGGAGGACACGGCTACCAGGAGCTATAGAAGCAATCGGGAGGCAGAGAAGCTGTCCAACTACTTCCACCTGACAGGCAGGGGTCTGCCGATCAGTTACATACACAATCCCGGTGGCTGCAGCCATTGGATTGTGTATAAAACCCCCAAAGTACGGACCTGGCAGCGAAAAGGGGTCAAAGTCTATGTATATACACTACTCACAAAAAATTAAAGTAACACTTTTTAACCACTTTCCCACCGGGCACGCCTACCCTCATACTGCCCAGGACAATTTTCAGCTTTCAGCGCTGTTGCACTTCAAATGACAATTGCACGGTCATGCAACACTGTACCCATATGACATTTTTCTTTTTTTTCACACACATAGAGCTTTCTTTTGGTGGTATTTAATCACTGCTGGGGGTTTTATTTTTTTGCGCTATAAACAAAAAAAGAGCAAAACATTTGAAAAAAAAGTTTTTCTTTGTTTCTATTATAAAATGTTGCAAACAGATAATTTTTTTCTCCTTCACTTGTGTACGTTGATGAGGCTGCACTGATAGGCAGCACTGATGGGCACTGATAGGTGGCATTGATGAGGTGGCACGGATAGACAGCACTGATGGGCACTGATAAATGGCACTGATAGGCAGCACTGATGGGCACTGATAGATGGCACTGATAGGCAGCACTGATGGGCACTGATAGGTGGCACTGATAGGCACGGATAGACAGCACTGATGGGCACTGATAGATGGCACTGATAGGCAGCACTGATGGGCACTGATAGGTGCAGCACTGATAGGCACTGATGGGTGGCACTGGATAGATGGCACTGATAGGCAGCACTTATAGCTGGCACTGATAGGCAGCACTTATGAGCTGCACTGATATGCAGCACTTATGAGCTGAACTGATATGCAGCAATGATGGGAACTGATATGCAGCACTGATGGACAATGATGGGTGGCACTGACTGTCGGGACTGCTGGGCCCTGACTGGTGGCACTGCTGGGCAGCACTGATGGGTGGCACTGGTGGACACAGGTGGGTGGCACTACTAGGCACAGATAGGCACAGGTGAGTGGCACTGCTGCGCACTTTTGGGTGGCACTGCTGAACACTTTTGGGCAGGCAGTAGTGGGTGGACACTTTGGGCAGCAGTGTGGGTGGCATGCAGGGCACTGATCCAGCCTCTGAGAATTGCTGGTTATCGGCAGTACTTTCCTCACACTGTGACAGCGGAAACTGCATTTACTGGTGATCTGCTGTATCATTGGAAATGGCTGATCACGTGGTAAAAGGCCACTATGATTGGCCTTTTACCACATCACGTGATCAGCTGTGTCCGTAGGGGGGCCCTTGGGAGGGTGCGCTGTGGGAGGACATCATATGACACCCTCCCAAAACTGGACAACAGTACTGAAGCCTTCATTCGGCTTAT